ACAAAACTCTATTAGCCTTTGCCCTGCTTTGTTTTGAACTCCAAGGCCAAACTTACCTGTTGTTCCTTTTATCTCTTGACTCCCTACTTTAGCATTCCAATCCCCTAGAATGACAAGAACATCTTTCTTCGATGTCAGTTCTAGAAGGTTTTGTAGGTCTTCATAGAATTGGTCAATTTCAGCCTCCTTAGCATCCGTGGTTGGTGCATAAACTTGGATTATTGTGATGTTGAAAGGTCTGCCTTGGATTCGTATTGAAATCATTCTGTCATTTTTGAGATTGTATCCCAGTACAGCTTTTCCCATTCTTTTGTTGACTATGAGGGCTACTCCATTTCTTCTACGGGATTATTGCCCACAATAGTAGATACGGTAATAGTCTGAATTGAATTCGACCATTCCATTTTAGTTCACTGACGCCCAGGATGTCAATGTTTATTCTTGCCATCTCCTGTTTGACCACATCCAGCTTAGCAAGGTTCATAGATCTTACATTCCAGGTTCCTGTGCAGTATTTTTCTTTGCAGCATCAGACTTTCCTTTCACTTCCAGGCCCGTCTGCAGCTGATCGTCATTTCAGCTTTGGCCCAACCACTTTATTAGCTCTGGAGCTACTTGTGCTTGTCCTCTGCTCTCCCTCAGTAGCATGTTGGACGCCTTCCGACCTGAGGGGCTGATCTTCCAGCGGCATAACTTTTAGCCTTTTGTTTCTGTCCATGGAGTTTTCTTGGCAAAGATACTGGAGTGGCTTGCCAGTTCCTGCTCCCGGTGGATCGCATTTAGTCAGAACTCTCCACTATGACCTGTACGTCTTGGGTGTCCCTGGATGGCATAGCCCATAGCGTCTCTGAATTACTCAAGTCCCTTCACCATGACAAGGCAGCAATCCGTGAAGGGGAAAAAAGTTGTACCTAACTCATTTATTGTGCAGTCCAAAATCTGGAAATTCTGAGGTAGGCCCCACTAAATGTGTGTTGTTTGCTGACTAGTAAGTATGTTTAGATTAGAGTATCATCAATATGCTAGTGTTATATCCCTGTGATTGCTTTTTCATCATAGTCCATGAAGTTAAGGGAGGCTTTTGCACAATTTATTGAGAATGGGCAAGCAAACTGAGATTAAATCTTAACAAGGACTTAGTTGAGAGTTAGCTTTGCTGAATGTAATGAGATGGACTTCAAATAAACATGCATAACATTGTCCCAAGGTAGCCCATGATACCAAATATATGTTCACGTTGGATGACTAGAAGCTATTCTACATGGAGAAGAGGTCTTAAACTAGTCGAGAATGTAGCAGTCAAAATTTTAGCTGGGAAAGGATTAAGTCTATGTGACTTCACTATTATATCAGCTGTATTGACGGTGGATTTTATTTTATTGTTGTTGTTGTTTTCAGGATGTCAAACCAAGCCAATACAAACAAATACACTGAAATTTTCGTTTGGTAATTAAGATCTGCAACAGTGATTTTATTTTCTAGTTTCTTAAGTTGCAATCCTATGAGTAACCTAATTGGTACAGTTGTGCCTTGATTTACGAACTTAATCCGTCCCAGAAGATATTCGTAAGTCTAAACGTTCATAAGTCAGATCAACATTTCCCATAGGAATGCATTGAAACCCGATTAATCTGTTCTGGCTGTTTTTTGTTCTTATGTCAAGGTATGATTTGTAAGTCAAAGCATTAGTTCCCTCCTGGGTGTTCTCCACCGCCACCAATTGGCGCCTTTGGAGGCCTCCCAGGGCTTCTCTGCCACCACGGGAGACCTCCCGGGGGTCCCCCACCATCGCCGATCGCCACCTTCGGGGGCCTCCCAGGGCTTCTCCGCTGCCAACCGATCGCCACCTTCGGAGGCCTCCCAGGGCTTCTCCGCTGCCATGGGAGACTTCCTGGAGGGCCACCGCCGATCGCCACCTTCAGGCTTTCCCAGGGAGTAGACCGGGCCTACCAGGGGAAGACCTCCCCGGTAGTACCGGTCTACCAGGGGAGGGCTTCCCCTTGTAGACCCGGTCTCATCCCCAGGAAAGCCTGAAGGCAGCGATTGGTGGTGGAGGGGTCTGCACACCTGCGAGGGAGGCCGGGTGAGCTCCTGGAGGGCTTCCTGCCGACTGTGTCTTTGGTGGCGGCGGGGCCCACGCAGATGCGGGGGAGGCCGGGTGAGCTCCCAGAGGGCTCCCTGCTGACGATGTCTTCCCAGGTTGGGATTGGGCTGGTGGGGTTATTTTGGGGGTTATTTTTGTGTTTTGATTTGTTTTTTGCAGCCCCAGGGTCTTGCAGATTTTTATTTTTATGGGGGGGGATTTTTTTTCCTTCAGCCGGAACTGATTAATGGGTTTTCAGTGCATTCCTATGGGAAATGGTGCTTTGACTTACGAACATTTGTACTTAATGAACACCATTCCAATACAGATTAAGTTCGTAAGTCAAGGCACCACTGTACTCACCCAGAACAGGCAATCTCTCTGTTTTTTTTTAAAAAGTAAAAAAATAATCCAAAAATAAATAAATAAATAAATAAATAAATAAATAAATAAATAAATAAATAAATAAATAAATAAATAAGCCAAAAAAAATTCAGTCCGTACAGTACAGTACCAGGCAGTAGGCAGTCTGAAGT